CAGATGTTGCTCCTGTTCTCCAACTAACCGATGTGATGGTCAGGACTCAGGACCCTTGTCTCAGGAAAGCAGGCAAGCTGAACTTGGAACTGCGTTTGACAAAGACCACTTGACAGTATGTTACTCGTAGATGGTACGAAAACTTTCACCCTAGCTGTTGTTGTTTTTTGCCTACTGTGTTCCGGAGCTGGGATACTTCGTCCAGGTTCTTGTGGCCCAGGCCTGACTTTTGGTGAAGTATGGCACAGTTTGGCGTTCAAGGTTTGAGGTTGCCGAAGACAATTTGTGATCAATCGTCTTTACAAGTGGTTCAACTTTAATTCCGGCGACAAACAGTTCAATACCATCGTCCTCCCCAACTTCTGCGGGGCGTCTACTGAGGTTTCACCTATGTTCCCAAGTATCTCTACTACATGGTGCTTGAGCAGCTTGACGCAAAACGGGGGCGTGGGCAAGGGGTAGGCCGGCTAGGACTGAGGGGTTGGGTGGGGGGGGGGGGTTGTAATTGGAGTTTAGGGTTGAGGTTTGTTTAGAGACTGATTGGGGACTGCTTAGCAGTATGGCAGCAGACAGGGGACAATGCTTCACCGCTTAATGCCCCAAGAAGCTGCAGTGGAGTGGAATACCCCGCAACGTTCCGAACCCTAAGCAACCCTAAACCCTTGGGCCCTGAAATACTCCCAACGTGCTAAACCCAAAACAACCCTAAACCCCTACACTCTACTAGAAACCCCCAAACCCACAGCTCTTAAAGCCCTAAACGTCTGAAGCCCACTGTCAATGTTCACCAAAACCAGTTCCTATCCACCCCCTGAGCTGGGGTCTGAAGAGGTTGAGTTGGAGTCGTTAACAAACGCTTCACCAAGAGTTGCTTCAGGTCAGTGAGGTCTAGCTCCCCTGCCTGCCTTCTCGCCGCCCACTCCTAGAACAAAATAAATGTATGTACATATATATATATATATATACACACACACACATATGTACGCACATACATATACACATATTTTTATTTAGTTTGTTTAATTAAACAAACTCAACACTGCCGTGAAGCCAACGAGATGATAGCTCTGAGGCCCTACGACGCTGAAATCCTCAACCACACAGTTGAAAATAGTCGTAGTGAGCTGCCTCAGAAGCTAGTCTAGGCCCTGACCTCGGGGTCTTAACACAGACTCCCCCCGGCCATGCTGACACAGAGCATCAGTACAGAAAGCAGGTTACTCAAGAACAGCGCGAGGGCCACCATCGAGACTGCTTCAAACCAGGCGGAAATCGAAAGTCGGCCGACCTTTTGTCTCAAGTTGGCCGTCAAGGTTTTGGTGGGCTTAGTCTTTAGGTTCTACGGATGCATGGATGTTGAGTCATTTTTCTAGGGTTTGTCACATTGCAATTTGTCACATTGCAATTCGGAAACTCTCACGATGCCGTTGGAACAAACAAATGAATGAAAGCTTGTCCTTGAGCTTTTTGCATGTTTGCATTGCTATGTTGTGACTGTAAGCCATTTGTCTTCTACCATGTTCTACCCGTACAAAACCCCCAAGAGTAGGTTAAATCATGACCTCCAAACCCTATAAGGGCTATTTCTCTACATGCTTTTGGGGTTCAGGTAGGCCCTAAGCATGTCATCCTGAAGACCTAAACTTTAAACCCTGAACCTCAAAAGGTTGTAGTGCTTCTTTTTGTGTTCTGCCTGGTTTCGTGAGGGTTTTAGGGTTTTGGTTTCACGGTTTAGGACTTAGGGTTGTTTTTGTCCGGTTTGGGTTTCAGGATTAGGGTTTATGGTTTTAGGGTTGGGGCTTTAGGGATTAGGATTCAAGCTTGAGGGTTTGGGGTTTAGAGGTTTAGAGTTTCGACTCAGGGTTGCAGGGTCCTGGTGTGAACACTTGAAAAGACCAAAGACCCGCAAATAATGCACCGCCACCCCTCAGCCGAGGATTGTTTGCACAGTCAGCGCCAATTCTGGACAGGTAGCGATCCGAATTCAGGACGGTATTTTTGGGATTTGGGTCTACAAAGTTATGAGGAGCACAGGATTCAGCGGTCCCACAACAGCTACAAGAAGATGCGAAACCTGGAGCTAGGGATGGTGCCTGGGTGCCGAAGGCTGGCCGCCTTGGTTGTACTGGTACGGACAACGTGTCATCATTCTGTGGATGCCTATGTTTGTCTGACGGGTCATACGAGTAAGTCTTCTCAGCAGATCGTCACCTTTCGAGCAGTCGTCCATTGTTTCGATCTTCGTTCATGTGCCTTTCGGATGCCCATAATGCGCGCGATCGAGAACTCTAGCCCTGAACCAAAATTTCCACTCAGAAGGCGTTTGACATCACAGCCCGGTAATTATGACAAAAATCACGACACGACAGTAGTAGGCCACAGCAGTTTACATCAATCCAGTGCCCGAGCCTCAGGTCCCCGAACTGCACATCCAGAAACCACCTCTTAGGGTTTAGGGTTTAGGGTTTTGGAGGTTTAGGGTTTGGGCGTTTAGGGAACCTCCATCGAACCCTGGATTACTTCAAACATCCTCTGTTGAGAAACACAGCCATGCTCCCGGCAGACACAAGCGCACACACACAGAGTGTAAATGAACAAAGGCAAACAGTGTGCGTGTTTCTGTAGAGGTTCATATATGTATATACGTATATGTATGTATGTATGCATGCCTACATATATATATATATATATATATATATATATATATATATATATATATATATATATATATTTGTATATAGCACGCGCACACAGACACATGCGCACAAACACACCCGATGGTAAGTCCTCGCCTGCAGGATTTGGCGGGTGGCATCCCCTTTGAAGTGGCGGACCGCGTTTGGTCTTACACCTACTCGACAGCTGACGCCCGCACCATTTGCTGTCATGCGGCGTGTTATTTTTCTTTGCCTGAGTTTAGCTTAGCTCGACGTCTTACCAAACCCTGAGCCCCGAGACGCTTTATCTCTGAAACTATGTCTACTGTGCGATAAGTAGCTACTATACATGCTTAATAGATAAGACATGTGGGGACCACGTGACGTTCTGTATTGAGGGTGCCCGGCTCAGGATTTGCCCCTAAATTGGCGACAGACTTTTTCTGCAGCTGCCTCAACACGTGCTGGCGCTAGCAAAGTGGAGGGGACCCCTTCTCATTCAAGCTGCAAGCCCGGCGGAACCTTATACTGTCTCGACAGCCAGGGACCAACTTGTAGTAGTGATTAATAGGGCATGTTTAGCAGCTGTGCAGAGCTCAACTGCGCAGAAGCACCCCCCGATTCTCAGATACCCTGCTGGGATGAGCTGGGAGGATCAGGGATGTGGTAGGTGAGGATCTAAAGTACCTTAGATTGGGCTTTAATGCACCTCAACAGTTGCCGCCTTGCTTGTACTACTTGCTGAGTCTGAAGTCCTTCAACTGTAGAATTAGACAACAGCAGCTTTCACGTCCCATGACAGACCAAACCCCAAACCTTAAACCCCAAATAGCTAAACATCAAAGCCCTATAAGGCTTAAACCTCTGAACTGGAAACCACTTTGAACCCCTAAACCCTAAAGCCCGAACCCGAATCCCCCTAAACAACTAAGCCCTAAACCGTAAGCACCTCAATTCTGAACCCTAAAATCCCTAGACAACCGAGGACACTCGGTCAGACGCCTGGGAGCATCAAGGAACTCCGCTGGCTGGCTCTGTGGCAGATCATGGGCAGTTCACGTGGGTGTTGGGCCTAGGGTTTGGGGTTTTTGGGTTTGACGTTTTGGGTTTGGGGTTTGGTGTTTAGAGTATGGGGTCTGGCGGTTAGAGTTTGGCGTCTTGGGTTTATGGTTTGGGTCTTGGGCTTGTGGTTTGCATGGGGTTTAGGCTTTAGGGTTGAGTTCAGTGTTGATTGGGATATGTTTTCGGGTTTCGGTAAGCAAGGTTTGTGCGTTTTCGGTGACCGGATTTACAATTTTGACCCGTGACTATGCAGACAAGGTAAACAGGACGGTGCTGAATGCAGAGTATAAGGTGAGGTAAGGTATCTATCTTTCTGTTGTTACTGCTGTGATGAGGGCTTCTTCATTTTTCAGGGCCCTTGGTAGCTGTTTCGTCTTTTGCTTGCCAATGATGGCGACAGTGCCAAGCCGCATTCAGTTCATGACACTCCACTGCGAATGTCCTTCTGCCAGTCTACACCATGCAGCTCTGAGCTCTTGGCGATGTTGCAGACCTCGGTTTTCAGTTTTCATGTCCAGTGTCAGAGTGGATGTGGAAGTGCATGGCCAAACGCGACAGGATGGGACCCGCCCGTGGATATGATGACCCGCATCACCCGATGGAATGTAAATGACCATAGACGAGGGGAGCATCAGCACGAGGTCGAGTGTGCCAGCACAGCGCATCCGGCAAATGTACAACACTCCGATAAATACCGTGCCACAGACTTCACTTTCACGCTTAAAACCGTGTGAGGCTATGGCGTTGGGTTGCCTTTGAGTCGGCTCTATGCGCAGCACCTCGGTTGCAGCGGTTCGATGCTGCTCAGGAGATGCCTCTTGGTTAGTATACCGCCCGCATAGATGATAGTCTTGTCATCAGGTGCAGGTAACATGGAGTCATGCCGGATCGAAGATCTCGAGTTGAGTGAGATTTGCAGTTGTTACCTGAGCTGAATGCAAATCATACAAAAGGCGCATCCGTCGCAACTAGGAATTCTGCACCCCAAAGCTTCAACCCATTGTCTCAGGGTCCGACCGCCGTGCCGGCTCGAAGCCTTCCCAGTCATCTCATGGGAGTGTCCGAAAATAGAGGACCCTAATATAGTACCCTAAATAGTAGGATCCTTATTATAAGGACCCCAAAATAAGGTACCCCTAATTTTCGGAAACTCCTTCATAGGGGCATTTGGTAGAAGTCACCCGGTGGTGGTAGGCTTTCAGGGAAGGTCCGCTCCGAAGAGTCGGTTTAGGGTTTAGGGTTGCAAGGTATGGCATGTCAAGGCATGCACATTACCTCGCAATGTCGCAGCCCGTCCCTCAAGGTTGCGGGCAGAGACCGGGAAGGCAAACTGGGTGTCGCGGATTCGCCCGGGGGACTGCAATTGAACGTATCACCGCTGGCATCCAGCTGCTGGGCTTTTGTTGAGAAGTTCATTTTGAGCTACCATAATATAGGAACCGTTTCTTCTATAGATCCCTTTTGTGGTAACTTAAACTAGTACTGTTTTTACAAGAACCCAGGTTGGTTATTGGTTGTTCCCGCATCAACCGCCGGACGGTCAGCTTTTCTGGTGGTGCCTCCTTCTGCAAAGTCACCCCGCTGAATCCGAAGTTTGCCACCGCTTACTACAAACGCGGTCTGTCGCAGGATGCTCTTGGCCAGAACGAGGCAGCCATCCAGGACTGCGACGAGGCTATCAGGATGAATACAGAGGATGCAGATGCCTTCCACCTTCGCGGAGCGACGAAGAGCCAGCTTGGCCAGGACGAGGCCGCCATCCAGGACTACGACGAGGCTATCAGGCTGCATCCGGAGCATGCGGAAGCCTTCAACAAACGCGGCGTGTCAAAGAGCAAGCTTGGCCAGGACGAGGCTGCCATCCAGGACTACGACGAGGCTATCAGGCTGAATCCGGAGTATGCGAATGCCTTCAACAACCGCGGCGTTTCGAAGAGCTAGCTTGGCCAGCACGTGGCTGCCATCCAGGACTACGACGAGGCTATCACTCTGAATCCGGAGTATGCAAATGCCCTCAACAACCGCGGCTTGTCGAAGAGCGACCTTGGCCAGCACGAGGCTGCCATCCAAGACTACGATGAGGCTATCAGTCTGAATCCGGAGTATGCAAATGCCTTCAGCAACCGCGGCACGTCGAAGAGCCAGCTTGGCCAGGACGAGGCAGCCATCCAGGACTACGACGAGGCTGTCAGGCTGCATCCGGAGCATGCAGATGCCTTCAACTACCGCGGCGTGTCGAAGAGCAAGCTTGGCCAGCAAGAGGCTGCCATCCAGGACTACGACGAGGCTATCAGGCTGAATCCGGAGTATGCTGAATCCTTCGACAACCGCGTCGTGTCGAAGGGAAAGCTTGGCCATGAAACTCCACAGTTCCCGGAACCACTTTTTTAGGTCGCAGGGGAGGTTTTTCATATTGAAACGGGGCCATAGTGGGGTAATCTTGAACCCTTGCGGATGTAAGGGCAAGCTATCAGCAGTATCCTCCTGGCACGCACAGAACTTACGAGCAGCAGTAGAATCCATGCGTTTCAATGATGAGATGGCTCGTGGATCATGCGGCTTGCTACACATCTGCAGAGTGCGGGACCCATATACTATTGTTCCAGCTGGTGTCGACGCTCATGGAATTCTGGGTGCTGCTCCCTCCCACTCTCGGAAATGCAAGATGTGGACGGATGGCAAAAGGGGGTCTGTCATTGTTGAGTACATGTGGAGATGTACTGTTCCTGTTGCAAAGCCTGCAGCTACTCCCCACTACAGGGGCACTTCCTCCAAGACATGTTAAGGTATGGAGGCACTTGTCTACTTTTCGCCACCGTAAGTGTCTCGCATCCGTAAATCATCGAAACCGTCTATGAACTAGGTCCATATAAAAATGCATGTTGCATGACCTGCACTAGTCCAAGCAATTCATGACAATCTCTACAACCTTCGATGTTTCCGACTGTAATGCTGTTTACACGCTCCCACGGAACCCTCTAAGCATCCGTAATTGCATGTATTCTGACAGCCCGACATATGCAACGCTTCGCAATATTTACTTACAAACGCTCATAGCATAATCCCTGCGATATTACATAATGTATAGTCGTGCTCTTGTGCGAAAAATTCACGCGGCCGTATCCCGCACACATCCTTCAGTTTGCTTTGCTGTGTAATTACCCAGACCTTCCAAAATCCCTTAATTAAGGAACATACCTTAAATCATATTAGGGACACTGCTATAATTTAAGGTATATTCCTTAATGAAGGGATTTTGGAAGGTCTGGGTACAGTGGTTCAGAGGTTGAGATGCTTGGATACCTTCTGTTGAACTCATTGGTCTTTGACTGCCTTAAACTGCGTTTTCGTTTTATTTCGGAAATAGTTTAAAACTTGTCTTAACATGTTGGACCTCACTGGTTCTCCCTGCATAAGTTTATAGAAGAATGCACAGTTTTGTTTTGTAATTTGGAGTGTTGCCCTTACCTCGTTACTGCTGCATTTCTACCTTGGTCTCGTGTTAGCGTGATTCCCGCCTTATGACTTACGCTGATCTTAGTTTAACCTCCTTGATCCTCCCTGCTACCAGCCAGATGATAACCCTGCATTTCATCGTGCCTTATCTCAATGCTGACTGTGTTTCGTCTTTGTTTTGGCTCTACCATGGTCCCATTCAAAGCCACAGCTCCTTTTGTTTGACTTGTTAGGCCATCTTTTCACGATAAAACCGCTTGCTTCGAGGTTGGATTTGGGGTTCAGGGTTTTATTTCTGGGGCTTTGCTTGGCAGCTTCTGCTTCCTATGGCACAGCGGGTGCTCTCTTGGATAGAGTCGTGCCAGCCATTCCGATGCCCCAAGCGGGGTCCGAACCCTATACACCTTCCTTCGCCAGTTTTAGGTGGGGTGGGGGGGGGAGGGGGGGGTGGAGGGGTGAGACAACATCATGCACAAAGCAACATCTTGATTCTTGATGCATTAATGAAAAGGCTGTCATACCATGTGAAGCATTCTCTCGGGCCTATAGGTAAGCTCAAAGACGGTGCAAGACCCTAATTCTTAACCTATGTCTCTAAGTTTTGCAGGTACCTGGGTGGCTCGCTACACTTGATGTCCATGCCGGGGGAAGGAACCTGCATTTGCGTGCGTCGCTGGGTTGCGGGATTCTTGGGGCCTGAAGATAAGAGCGCAGTAGGGTGTACGTATTAGGGTCAAGGGTGCGACTTAATCCTAGGTTTCATGTAGATGGTGTGACTTTCGGTCGACCGGGTGTACAGTTAACGGCGCGCGAAGTCATTGCAGACCTCCCGGGTTTCGAAAGGTTGGCTTCAGCATTGTTTGCTTCTTGAGACCGGAAACCTACCCCTCATTTGTCATAGTTGGGTAACATTTTACATTTTTATAGCTACTTAAATAACCCAATAAGGAATAAAAGATTGAATTTTTAATCCTATCCCAACCATGAACTAGTAATGTAGCTGCTCATGTCTTGGTTAAGCGATTTCTTGTGTTTGTAGTCATGCAACTACTGTTTAGCTGGTCCGTCCGTTGTACAACTCTTCCTTGGCATTCCCCATAGGCTAACCTTTAGTGCACTTCAGACACTGGTCAAATAGGTCTACTTACCCTAAGGGTCCATGTATCTCTATATGGGTACATGGACCCTTAGGGATTAGTAGTTGGGCAAGCAGCGTCCTTCGGTGTGTTTCCCAGGCTCTCGAAGCCGACAGTTTCACGGTGTTCCAATGTTTTCCATCAATTAACGTATGCGCGTGCCTGCATGTGTTATGAGGTCCATCTGTGCGCGCGGTTGTTTGAATACCGCGTTCACTGTTAGTCAGTTTTAGTGACTTTAAAATTTAGTGATAATCATACGTCCCTGCTGTGGTGGCTACAAACAGTTGCATTTCAACAAGAAGGGATGCAGGTGATCGCCGTCCCGCCACACCAACATCTACGACCCACAAGCATCGAAGAGCCTCCAACACAAGTCTGCTGACCATCAGGATCCGAAAAAGATAGACCAGTTCCGAAATCTAAGCTGCAAGTTCAACAATGGCACACGAGATCCAAACTATAGAGCCCCAGCGACCTCATAGGGCAAGGAAAGCCGCTACCTAGACTATATCGCAGCTTGTTGTGGGTCACCTCATCTATGGATTCAGGATCCTTTGGTAAGACATCAACATAACCCAAAGAGGCACTTGTACCACATGTGCGGATCTAGTTAGAGAGATCAACACCACGGTTTGATCAGCCCTGCACGTACTCTGGCCGTCTGCAGGAACAACAGCCTTCCTTCACCTCAAGCGCAGCTTTTCTACTAACAGCCGAAGGGCTTCGCATGTTGAGTTAATGTTTTTAGGGATTTGGCGATTTACGGGTTTATGGTTTCGGGGTATGCGGTTTGAGGTTTAGGGTTTGGGCTTCCAGGACTTGTCAACCGTTCTGCCAGCACGAGTTTAGGGTCGCGTGGGCCCGAACTTCAAAGAATAGGAAGTCACGTAGACCCATGGCTAATAAACACCGCCTCGCTAAGGCACTTAATCTGGGAACCCCTGTTAGAATCCCTATAGTAGTCGAACAGGTTCAGGAGTCTACAGAATCGGTCATATGTTGCCACTTTGCGTTGAACCATATGCAGGATAGACCCTTAACCCTTGAGTCTCGGGTTGGGAAGGCAAAGCATCAGGTTTGACAGGGTTTCAGTTACTACCATTTGCTTAAGAACCCCCCAAAAAATAAAAATAATAATCCCTATATTACCACCCATAAGGAATATATATTTCTTTTTTTGTGGTTCTTAAGCAAATAGTAGGTTATAGGGTTTAGGATTTAAGAGACTAGGCTCCTGGCGTTTTAGATACTTACATACTAGCATGGGTGCAACACTTACCCTATCCCTCCAAGGACCTCATAGGTAGGGCCCTAGACCCCTTAAGGACCCCATAATAAGGTCCCTGGGGGCATAGGGTTAAAATGCCCGAAACCGTACAAACAGTTCTGAGAATTTCAACTGGCTCTCAGTTCTCGGCTTTGGGACCCGCATGCTCAGGGTCGACGTAGGGTTTCGCTTGTAGGTTCAGCTCTACAATTAGGGCTCAGGGTTTTTAGGGTAAGAATCCTGTAAAATATGGTGTCCTTGCATAAGGCCTTGAAAGGGTAGGTTTGGGGTTCACTTCCCCTGTTCGCCAACAGAACATACCATATCGGGGCCCATAGAGCCTGCAGTCTTCAACCAGACGACCTCCAAGCCCCAAGACTTAAAAGCCCCCAAAACCTAGGGTTTAGGGTTTAGGGTTTAGGGAAATCTGAACCCTGAAGCTTTAAACTGGAAGCCCTAACTGCAAGCCCAGAGTCGTAAACCCTTGTCGGGACCCTATTTGAACCCTATTACAGCAACCAATGTAATACCCATAACTCCTAGCGCCTGCAGTTTCCTGGCCGTAGGATGTAGAGCTTCCAAGCTGAGCTGAGGATTGAGGCGATAAATCCTTACACTTCTCATAGACCCTCAACCTAAAACTCCTAAACCCCCAAACCCTCAACCCCTAGACCCTAAACTCTATATAACCTAAAGCATAGGCGCAGCTGAGGATTGAGGCAAGATGCGCGTGAGCAGCTTCCCTTCTGGCAAGGTGAGGCTCAGAAATGCGCCCTGATCGACCCTTGCCGGCAATTCGGAGAACGCTATTGCAGTTGTTTCGCCTTTATTCATTGGACATTGGAAGCCCTGAACCCTACATGCCTAAACCATTATAGTACGGTCGATGATATAAATCCTGCATTACCAATAATAAGGAATATACCATAATTCCCATAGTTAAGGGCCCTTAAGGTCATGCAGTATTTATATCATCAAACGTAGTACCCATTATGGCCTGTACTGAATCCTTGAAAGGTCTTTTTGTGCGGCCCAGAGAAACCCACTATACTAGAGTCTAAGCCTATGCGTGGCCCTTATCGAATTCCGGTGCATTTCCTGGCGGTTTTATGGGGCTTGGGGTTTCTGGCTCCGTGTTTAGGGTTTATATAGGAACCCTAGACCCTAAGTATAAAGGGGTTCATGGGTGTATGAGTTCCCTAATTCCTAAACTCTAAATATAGCCCTAAGGCTCAAAATGGCCCAAAAGCCTTATATAGTATGGTCTTTGGGCCCAAAAGCCTTAATATGTATATATATATATATATATATATATATATACATAAAACTCCTTAGAGCCCTAAATACAGGATTTCATGGGTTTATGAGTTCGGCACTTATAAGGTTCAAAACATCGGGCTTTCCCGAGCTAGGGCCGAGAGTGGCGAGTCGTATCTTCTGCTGACCTACATCCTTCAATGAAGGACCAGGGTTTAGGGGTTAGGGGTTTCGGGTTTAGGGTGTCTTGCCTAGAGGCTCATACCCTACCC